CCCCCCCCCCCAAGCATGTCAGGCCTGCTCAGGAATGGGAGGAGTGGGCTTGGGGCCAACGCAGAGGAGGGGAGGGGAGTGGGTGAGGAGTGGGCCCAGGCCCAAAGTGGGGGAGGAGACCCGCTCCTTTCCTCCCCGAGCTGCTACTGTGGCTGAGTCAGGCCAGCCCACTGCCCCCCCCTGCAGACCAGCTTTTTCCCCTGCTCAGGCCGGCTCCCCTCTACCCTGTGTTGGGCCCGGGCCCACTCCCTGCCCCCCCACGTTATCTGCAGGGAGTGCGGGGGGGAGGGGGGGGAGGCCAGCGCAGCCTCCGTCCCCTGTGTCCCCACGATCGTGGCAGTGGGCTGGCTTCTGTTAGAATGCTTCTTTGCACTCTGATTGGCTGTTTGTCAGCCAACCAGAGTATGAATAAAGCGTTATGGACAGACAGATGGACAGATTTAGGCTTTTATAATATTAGAATAATAGGCTTATTCTGTCTGTATGGAGCACTCTGATTGGTTGTCTCGGCAGCCAATCACAAATCTTACTTAAACAACCAATGAGAGTGCTCCAGACAGACAGAATAAGCGTGTTATTAGTATAGATCCTGAGGCATTTCATAGTTTCATAGTTGTTAGGGGTTGGAAGAGACCTTATGCCACCGGGTCCAGCCCCCCTGCATTTGGACAGAAAAGATGGGCATCAAGCTGCTTGTTGAAGATCGCCAGGGTGGTTGACTGTACAGATATGCAGGCAAGTCAGAGCTAGAATGAAGCACTGGGGCCCCATACTACGGAGCAGGCAAGCTCTGCTGAAGGAAAAAATGAATAAATAAATCAAGCAATCCTCTTTTTTTCCCCGGAGACTGCCTTCCTCTCCTGCAGCAAAGTGGGGGGGGGAATGAATGGCCAGCCAGCTCTGAGCTGCAGGGAGCCCTGGTGCTTCCCTCCACAGCAGCAGCGCCTCCCGGGACTGCCCTGGGGTTGCTGCCCAGGCCGTGCCACTGCCACGGAGGAAAGCACCAGGGTTTCTTGCAGCTCAGAGGCAGCACGACCTGCCAGCAGCTCATTCCCTGGCTGCAGTGGACATAGGCTGGCTCCAGAAAAAAGGTGGGGGGGAAAAAAAAAAAAGATTAGGCCTCTTGCCGCTTTTTAAATTTTTTTTCCCCCTCCTTGGTGGAGCCTGCCCACATGAGCTGCCACTGGGTTGTTCAGCCCCTGAGCTGCAGGAGTGGCCTGGGCGTGCTCAGGGAACTTGGGCTTGGCAGGCTTCCAGAGCCTTGTGCACTGTCCCTGCTGCCTCGAACTGCCTGGGAATGGCCTGGCTGCCCTGGGAAGATGGCAGAAGGGCATACATAGGATGTGTTTTAGTTTGCAATGTAAAAAAGTCATTTAAGTAGAAATACACCGCCAAACGTATACACTTACGAAATTTCATTGTAACATGCCGCCGAACGTGTACACTGTTACACAATTAAATTGTTAGGCAATTAAACCACTAAGAGGGGCAATTTCCTCATATGTACAAGGGCCCTTAGTCACGTGTGCAAGGGCCCTCTCATTCTACGGCTATAAGCAAGTCACTTTTGACAAAATATATATTGATACTCCTAAGTCTGTGTTAATACATAGACTGCTTTATGTAGCCTTTTCGAGGGTGAGAAGTTTTGATTCTGTTAAAGTATTCAGTCAAAGGATAACTAAAAATTCTGTATTTAAAGAAATACTTTTGCAATAAAAAATTAATTTCAAATGTTTTGCAGGTTCCAACTAGTTGGATTGATATCCAAAGACTACATTCTCAATAGCGTAGGAAGAAAAATCACAACCCTGCTGTACACTCACATTGATTATACACCCACAGTATTTGCTACCTGAGGAGTTTCTTGAATAGTTGCTAATGTTTTATGTATACTTGGCTAGAAAGAATGCAAAATCTTTCCAAAAGCTATACATAGAGTCTCACTCTTCAAACCTGACTTATCTTAAACTTGAAACTAGTTTGGAGATTTCACTCTAAAGACTTTCAGTTCTTATACAAAAGTAAAGCTGTTGTCATCTCAACTGAACTGGGGAGATTTCAACAGTAGTTTTGATACAGTAGAAGGTAGGACTGAATCTCTGTGGAAATACTGGTAGGGTGTAGGGGTGAGATGAGCATCAGATGTGTTCATACTCACTTACTACAGGTCAATGGAATGTAATACAGATTTGTCCCTCCCTACCTTATATTGGTTTACGGTCACAATAAAAAATGTGAATGAGATGGCTGTAGCTGCCATGGCATGGGTGGATGGCATTCCATATTCTGCATCTGCTTTCACTTCCAGCTTCACAACAGGTGGCGAATGAGGACGAGGCCATTTCAGGATGTCCTTGGAGACTTGACCTATGTACATAACAACCTAGAGAAACCAGAACACAAAAGTCAATAAAACAGTTAAGACATGGGAACTGTCTCTTGACCTACCCAAGGGCCCATTTGATTCTCACCTATATGACTACTGCAGCAGTAAAATTCTGTACCTGGAGATATGAATTTATCCTCTGAATTATAAAGGATATTCTATCATACTAGCTAGTGAAAAGAGGTACAGTTTGCTGAACAATATTTTAACTTGATCAGATCTGGGACGAGAAGGAAGTTTCTCAAAGGTGGTACAGCATGTCACAGTAGAAGACAACCAGATCCCATGCTCCAGCATCATTTGTATGCCCAATGCTAATACATTATTAAGCACTTAAAAGGTTTCCCTCTTGGCATTTATAACCATTTTGAACACTCTGGGTACTCTATGCTAACAGGCAAATGTGAGACTTCTTTCCCAGCCTCCAGGCCCATAAAATTAGCACAGCTTTACATCCTGTACAATTCTCTACACTTTCCCAAAGGCACTCTCACGGCATAATTATCTGTTGCATTTCCAGCATTTCTTCCTTCTCCCTGCCCCACAATATGCCACCAGAACATAATATGGGACACAAACAGCAGACAGCAAATTATTTTTGGTAGGGAAAAAGGATAAAAGTGTGTGAGCAGTGTCATAATTTTAATAATTTTCTTCCTGCCTGGCTTCTTAGTCACAAAACATTTTTTTGTTTCTCTTGGGCAATACCAAGTAATGCTCTATTATAATGCTAGATGAATTAGACAAGAACACTTTTAATTGTTCAGAATGTCTGTATGTCCTTGTAGATTTTAACATTTTAAAAAGTGGAGAGGAAATTTCCATTAATATTAGCTCCATGGGGGTGGTGTGCTTAGTGGTGACTATCATGAAAACTACTCGAGTAGATTTACCAATCCGAGAGGAGGAAACAGTGTTGCTCATCTGTTCATTGCAGTTATTGCTTCTAACCAGATAGGAAGACTAGAGAAAAAGGGATAGAATTGTGGTCAACAAAGTGATTCTTTTTTTTTTTTGTAAGAGACAGTGTCCGTGACAGGAATATAGACTAAGTTAGCAAAGAAGTCAAAGCTTCACACTGTGGGCTTCAACCCACTCTTGTGTGTCTGGATGTAGAGCATGTTTTTCCCATAGGCAGTTTTCTAAACAGTAATTCTCAGTGTCACCTGTACATCCGTGTAAGAGAAAGTCTGAGCAGAACAGTCAGTCTTTTGATCATTAAAGGTCAAGCAATGCCTCTGCTCCCTGTCCCTCTATTTGGATGGAAGTATGGAAGTGCTGTCCTATTTATGGTCCTCTGATTATGAGGTTTCTACATAAAACAGGGATGTCAGGCCATGCTTCTCTTGGTCTTTGTATCCAATGCCACAGATACATCTGATACTTCCAGGCGTGAGAGCCAGAGCTCTCTACGTGCTTGCCTTATGTGACAACAGCTTTGCCTCAACATGTATCTATGCCTGTGCACTGGCCTTTTGTTCTCATCCACCACGGCTTGCTATTATTGAATGAGCAGAAGGCTCCTGAAGTTTCTGGGGCTCCACATGTAAGACCATGGGTTGCCTCCATGGGGTTCCTACCTCCCCCTTCCCCTGTCCACGTGCCAACCCTTATATCTGATGATTAGTCAGGGCCACCTGAATGTCTTTAGTAGGGACCCGGATACTCAGGGTTTGGTTCCCTGCCATCCTGGCTCAGGCCTCGTTACCCGATTGTACACATTTTTCTAATAAGTTCCATACAGTACCAAGGCACCCTGCACCTTCAGGTTTGTCTTCCTCTTCATTGCTGCTGGCCACAGTGGGTCCCCGTTAGTTGCTCGAACTCCTGGGCACCCGCTGCTGGGCACTCCTCCGAGTGCTTGTACCCCCAGTGTTCTCCCCCTCCAGTGTAGGGGATACTCACAGGACTCTAGGCTTACCTGCTTTCTGCAGCCCTACACCTGTTGTCAGCTGTCTCCCTACTGTACTGACTCCTGCCTCCAGCCAGGACCGGGCTTCCGGTTATACCAGAGGCTGTAGCATGCTTTCTTATGCACAGGAAGCACACGCTTCTAAAGCATGGCTGCTGCTGCATCTGCTTCCTTTGCTGCACCTCCATGCTTGTGATCCTACCGGGAGGTAAGGAACACAACTGGCCCTTACTGGGCTATCTGGTTCTTCCCTGGTGCCCCAGGACAGTTCCCCTGGATTTCCCTGTCTCACATTCTTCAGGATGCCTGGAGCTAGGCTCCCACAGTCTACTATCTGGTACCGTGTAAACCAGTACAGCCTATTCCATGGTTAAGTTGCCAGCGACTAAACTGCCCCCACCCCACCTGGACTAGCCTAGGTGAGGAGGGTGTGTGGACACCCAGCAGGAATGAAAAAGACGATGTCAAGGGGCAGATGAGGTCCCAGTGAGGCAATGGCCATCCATACTTCAAGAGGAGATAGGCACCACCCAGGATACTTTGCCAGAATAACCAGTGATGCAAAGCAACTCAGCTAACCTCATGCAGAGTGGAGGAGGGTTGTTGCAGCTCTAAGGTGCCCCAACAGTCGGAGCAGCCTCAGAACTGACTTGACTTGATATAAAACAGTACTTTTGAAGTTATATTGTTCAGAGTATTGGTACGTCCTTATTGTAGGTTTTAACATTTTAAAGAATGGAGAGGAAGCTTCCATTAGACTTATCTCCTTGGGGGCGGTTCCCTTGGTGATATGCAAGATAAGTCTCATGCAAAAAAATAAAAATCCACCATAAAAATTAGATTCAGTGGTGACTATCATGAAAACTACTTTTAAATTCCTGCTCAGATGATCCTTTGTTCTGCCTCTCGCGCTTCCACTACAGAAGGAGGTTTTTTAAAATACAAACATTTTTAAACTTGTCTTAGTCATGAGTTATTTATAATAGCAACAAGACTGTTTGTTCCACCACTTTCAAAAGGGAGATCTTGGGCTTTCTAATCCTGTACAAAGTATGGCAAGACCATACCACAATTTAACATTTGCACCCCCGGTACTTGAGGAAACAGTCCTTCTTCGTGATTTTGCTGCCCCATGAATTTTCATGCACTGCCAGCTGGGTACCAATAATGCAGCCCTATTGTCTTCATCTATTCCACAGCAGTATATCACATGGGGGTTTATTAATCACAGTGCACCAGATATTCACAACATATAAAGGTGCAAAGATGCAAGAAATAAACTATATACGTCCTTTAAGTTCAGATTCTGTACTGTCTATTTCCATATAGATACAGGAACATTTCCATGAGCCAACTAAATTCCAGAATTTAAAGTAAAAGTTTTCTCTCTGATGGGAGAGGAAAAATGTGATAATGAATTTACTGTCTGAGGCATGAGCTTGGAGGCAAGGTAGGATTAGCCATGCTGAGTTGGACTTTTATGGACATGAAGGCAAAAACTGGAAGTCTGCTACCATTGTAATGTAATGAATGAAAGTTTTTGATAAAAAATATTTTTGACTCTAATACATTTTTAAAAGGTTAGAATGAAAAATGAGTATTTTTTTTAAACAAAAATTATGGTACTGCTCTTCTGATAGTGAAGCCGTTGGACTTTTGTCTAAATTGATACATTCTTAGATCCCAAAGTGGTATAGAAAAAATAACACTGGGTAACACTGCATTCAGGGAAAAACTATTCCACATCTCTTGAAATTTAAATTTTTGTCAGAGGATGCAGGATTTTGATGTTGCAGTACTATACAGAAAGGGGCTATTACTGGCCTTGCTTTGATGCCTTCCTTCTGCAATTAAAGTCCCCAAACTCTCTCTGTCTCTTATCTCTCTCTCCCTGCTCCCCACCCTGCCGCCCACCATCACTGTGCATTGTACAAATAATGCCTACCATTACCTTCATTTTTTGTTTAGTTTTTTACGCTTGAGGTTTTTTATTTGGTAGAGGAAGTCTTTGTCATCTTTCCTCCCAACTAAATATAGTATTTGTATTTTTTACTAGTTTAATTGGAGGTGCACTTATTTTCATTCCTCTAGTTTAAATCACATGCCAATATTTTCTGACCTCATTTCTCAGGTTTCTCTTTCCATTTGAATTAATCCTCCAGCTTCCTAGGACTATCTGCTATCACCTCCTTTTCAACATAACTGATGGGAAAACCCTCATATGCAAAGTATGACTTGTCTAGCGCACAACAAGCAGTGTACTCTATCAATACTAAACGTAAATTGCTTATCTGCAAAGTGTCTCAGACCTTTAATGGCTGTGGAATAAATTTGGCCAGGGTAGAAATTACCACCACTAAAGGCCAAATAATCATTCTGGGGCTTCTTAGATTACAAGGTCAAAATCAAACCAAAGCTAACTGGGTCCTTCATGATTGAAAACTTGCATTTTAATTGTAAATAGAATATATCCAGTCATATTTACCGAGGCATCTTAAACTCAACACAAGAGACAGCCCTTTCACAGAGCCATAGGTCAGATTCTGTTCTCTGTTTCAATACCATACTTCTGAATATCAGCAGTGGCACTCTACTTTTACACGTAGATAACAAAGGAGAGTTGGTAGGAAACAAGCGAGTCAAGTGAAAGGACATATTTCTTTAAAAGAATCAGCAATTACAAGGGAATGCAGACACAGAGACATGCAGGTTGTTTTAAAAATAAAATATTTACAGTACAAGAGTATTTTCTGTGTATATCTTAGAGCCCTACTCTGGATTCTCAACATCTGCTGTAAGTTTCCTTTATGGGAATATAGGGATTTAAGGTATTGGGTCCATGGAGCTTGTATTAAGTGAGACATATTCTTCAAAATGTTTCCACTGGTAAAACTTTGCTGGAGATGAGATCAGGAGCACTCTCACAGGTATCTGGAATTTCTGTAAGTAAAACCCACGAGTAATCCTCACATACCTAAAAAAAATCCACCCAACAACACTTCCCCACCACCAAAAATCTGTCAAGTCCAAGCCTCAAAGTGTAGAAATGAGCATGTTTTGAAAAGTTCAGCTAGAAGCTAAAGTT